CAGCAAACCACTTTCAGAGCAGGATGGATTTTTATCTTGTTCCCTGGGACACACACCAGTATGATTTGACACCACTGGGAGGGAACTGCTGGTTTTCCTAAGAAGAAAATAAACAGTCATTGTAAAAACAAGCCTGATTTTCTCCCTTTGGCAGGACGCCTGCATGTGCCACCTTCAAGGTGGGAGGATGCTCCAGGAGAGGTGAGGCTTATATTCATATCCCCCCTTCTTGTTGCTATTGTTGTTGTTGTTCTGGTTCATAACGAGTAAGTCTCACATCAAACAAGTCTCACAACATTTCCCTTTCCTGGGCACTTGGGGGATGCCAAAGTCACAGGACAAACCTGTTGTCTCCTCAGTTTTCATGGTTTCTTGGCTGCCTTTTGCATGTACAATGTTTAGGCTGAGACTGCAGAGTAAGAACGGAGGAGAAATATGAATACAGCAAAAGTGTCCTACAGATAGAAAACACCTAGGGGATGAGGTGGATAAATCTTTTCATTACTGCTAGCAATAAGTAAGGGTTAAACCTTGGAGTGTCCAGCTGCTGCTGATTTCACTTCTGCCATGCCCTGTATGAATTTTCCACCAAAAACTAATTTCATAGAATTTTTAACATGAAGAAATAGGAAGACAGAAAAAGAGGGTGAAAACCAGAGCTGGTGCCAAGTCCCACCCTTGTGTACATCCTGCATTGCATACACACACTGAAGAACCAAAAGCATTGAAATCCACACCACAACTACATCAGGCAAGGAATCTGCTCATTCCTAGGCGTCAGAGCCATGGTTGATGTGATGCTGGCTGAAGTGGGGCTGACATTTGCACAAACAGTTCCTTGCCTGGTGTAACTCATGACCCAAGTTCCCTCAATGTTTGCCACTGTGAAGTTCTCAGGTGTGTTATAAATTGTGTGCCTATTCTCACAAAGTAGGTTAAAGCCAATAAAATTTGGGCTGTTATTGTTTGTTGTATCTTAACAAATACCTTTCATTTTGCTATTCAATACAGGTTAGAAGGATTAGGACTAAAGCATGCAATCAGTTTCTCAAGTGACTCATACTGCTGTAGCTAAATCAAGAATGCCCTGTTTTTAAAGTATGGAAGGCCCTTTATCTTTCTCATGGCTCAGGAACATCACACAAGAGGGATTTTCTGCTGGACAAAGTAATTTCTACAAACTATAAGAACATGACTCCAAGAGTAAAACAAGACGTCGGTAAGGAAGAACACAAGTTTCCACTGTGCAGTTTTTGGATTCCCTCTTCTTGCAATGCACAGACTTATTTCTCAAGTTCATCAATATGAGCTTAAGGTCAATTAAATACCCAAAGATTTTTCTGGATTGCACCATGAAACTAGTAGGCAGCTTGAGACACATCCTGTCTTCAGGGTGCACAGGCAGGTGATTTTTTTCTCAGTTAGCCAAAGGCAATGCAGCATCTTCCAGTCTTGCTGTTATACTCCTTCTATAGCTGTTCATCTCAATAAACACAGAAATGCAGGAAAAGCTTCAAGAAAGTTTGCAGTTTGGTTTTTCTGTGGTTTATACTTTACTTATTAAAACAAACACAGCTTCTGAATGAGAAAAAATGTAACACTCAGGCTAAGAATGTGAAACTTACCTATTCGTTATGGGAAGTCTTTATTGGAAATGCCTTTGAGAATCCCAAAATCACCAATACAATGAAAAGATTTCACTGTAACTGCTATTGCTCATTTAAAATGAACTCATATTTCACTCATGGGATATTTATACTGAAAGAAAGTCAGAGATCAGATGATAAGAAAGTAGCCTGAAGGAAAGATGTGAAAACAATATAATGGAAGAAACATAGATAAATGCTTTTAGTGGGAAATGCAGGAATCAGACTAGCAGTGGAAAGATGAGTGCAATGGAAGATAAACTGGGTTAGTGCTGTTTTGAAAATATAACAACGTAGTTGCATTTTTTTTGCTGTCATATTTATTAATTGATGCTACAGTAATCTATTCAAGATGGTAAGAGCTGAGGACGTTCAGGATCCACAGGAGGCATTCATCAAGTGCTGGAGAACATTGCCTGGGTACATCAGGGAGAGGGTTTTCTCTGACAAGGAGGTTTTCCTTCTGTTCTTCACTCTGAGGAAGGAGGCTGGATCTCACTACATCTGGGAGATTGTTTGCCACAATTTTTTCAAAGCTGCTCCGATTTTCATGATGTCCTGCCTTAAACTGGAGCTTTTAAAGTCTCATCAGGAAGCTGTGCTTTTGCTGCCATAGCACACTGGGTTAGTTCACCCCTCTTCTCCCCCCAGTCTGTCACAAGCCAAGGGACAGGGACACTGTGACCACCCCTCTCTCCCTCCCCTCTCCTCACTCCCTGCTCAGGGGCCTGAGCCACATAGGTGAAGGTGGGAAAAATCACTTCTGCTGTGTTTTTATCGTAGAATTTAATTGCCATTTTAAAATGGCAATTGTATTCATTTTAAAAGCTCTTCATCACAGATATTTTCATTGAGCATTGCTGGAAGTCAGAGGGCAAAAGAGAGATACCAACATTAGGAAACAATTTTTTTGTTGAAATTGAAAATAATTTACTTTGACAGTAAGTATTCCTACAATTACTTGAAGTTTAAGATCCCTTTACTTAGAGCAGTGGATGTTTAAGCAGTTTTCCATTCCTTAATGTCTGTCATTTGAACTGTAAATCCAATCAAGTCTCAATAGCCTTTGGATCATACCTATGCACTGACAGACCCTAGTGGGTCTGTGTGCAAGCAAAAGGATGCCTAAACTAAACAAGGTTGTAGGAAGCGTGTCCAAGGGGCAGGGAAACCAAGGGACATGCGCAGGGACAGACAACCCCATTGGTTAGAAGGTCACATGGGGATAAAAGGGGGAACAAAATTCAAATAAAGTCTCTTTGATTTCCACCTCATGAAGAGCGGACTGTATTTCTTTATCATATAAAGACCGCAACGCAACACGTGGCACCCGAACTTGGGGCATGAAACCTGCATTAGGCAAGTTTAGCTTACCCTGAATCAGGAAAATTATCGGTAAACGCCATTTATCGTATCAATTATCTGGATACGGGGGTTTTTAACCAAAAAAAACTTAGACGTCTGTAAAACTGTTGTCTCAGTTGCATATGAGAAATGGGAGTTAATATAGTGAGCTCAAAAATATTAGGGAAAAGTGCACAGGAAGAAAGAAGAAAGAAGAAAGAAGAAAGAAGAAAGAAGAAAGAAGAAAGAAGAAAGAAGAAAGAAGAAAGAAGAAAGAAGAAAGAAGAAAGAAGAAAAAAAAAAAAAAAGCCGAGAGACCGGGGCAGGAGCTGGAGGCAGCGGAACAAAGACCAACATTTCGCGGAGCGGTGAGTGAGCTGAGAGCGACGCTAGTGCCTAACACTGCAGCTAGGACTGCTCCTGAGAGGCTGCGTGTCCGCAGCTTGGAAAACCCAGGTGGTGGAACACGCTAAAACGGCTGGGAAACCCCTGTTGCCCGCCGCCGCCGCCACGGCTGAGCCGAGCGCACGAAACAGACGCCGTCTCTCTAACACCCCCAGCCCCACCGCCCGACCCCATAAACTCCGTGCCGGCACACCTTCCCACGCGGCGGAAAGTGCCGCAGCTTCGAGCAGCCTGCCGCCCGCCCGCGTGCCAACCCACCGCCCCTCCCCCTGCACGTGCCGCAGTTTGCAAGCGCGGGAAAAGGGCTGAGCGATGCACGTGCCGCCAGCCACCCTCCCTTCCCTTCCCACCACCACGGGAGCCACCACAGGGACCCCGCACCGGGACGGCTGCCTCCACTGGCCCTGTGCTATGCTTAAAAGCTGTGCAGGACCTGCCAAAGCCGCGCTGCGACCCCGCCGGCACCCAGACCCCCCCCCAGCGTCCAGCGTACCAAAGGACCCCCAGAGACACCCTCTGCCGGTCCATGCCTGCCTGTAGCAACAGCGCAATGCCTCCACGCCAAGGAGAAACCCACCAGAAGCAGCAAAGACCCTGAAGGAACCTTTCGCTGCTTCTCTGCCGTGCCTGCCGTGCCTGCCAGAGCGGCGCTAGGACTGTACACCACACCGAGGGGTTACCCCACCGCCACTGCCCGCCACCATCTTCCATCGCTCCCAAGCCACTGGAGCCGCCAGAGAGCCCCACTGGACACCGGCAGAGACGCCGAGAAGAAAAAAAAAATGTGGAAAAGCAGTCAATAAACTGAAACTCTGCAGCCAGACAAAGGACCCCACCCACGTGTGCCTGCCACACTGAGAGATTAAGGTAAATATGAGGGGCTTTGTTTCCACGAAAACCTCGCAAGACACAGACGCACTAGCCATTCTGCTAAAACCATACCACATACAAGCCACAAGGCCTGAACTAACAGAGCTTGTATGTTTCATTAAAGCAGCAGTACCCGAGTTGCCCTTAGTGGAAGCTCTTCACATAGAGATTTGGCATAAAATAGGAAACCTCATAAAACTAAAAGCCCGGGGGGGACCCCCAGGCTAACAACGCCTTTTCAGCCTGGCAAATCATAATGTCTGCACTACACAGAGCCCACGAACGGACAATACAAGCATCCAACACGAACATGCACCCCCCTGCCCACACTGCTAGCAGCAGCCCGACCCCTAGGCATCGGACAAACGCACGAGGTCCACCAGGGGGAGGGGGAGGAACTGTTCGTGAATTAAGTTACGGGTCGCGAGCCGGGGGCCACAGGAACATGGGTTGCCAGGAGGGAACAGAGCCTGAAATGTGAGATCCCAAGCCATGGGATCAGTGCACGGGGCTCTGTTACAGTGATGAGGGGGGTAACCCAGCGTCTCTGCCCCCCCACGCTGCAAATGACCAGGGGAGCTGCCATCTTGCCCATCAAACGGACCGGAAACTGATCCGTCTCTTCTGGCCCGAGCGCTGCCCCACCCCAGCTGCCGGCACGAGGGAGGGGGGTGGCCCCTCCCTCTTGCCGCCTCCACCACCCAGCACCACCCCCCCCCAGGGAACCGGACTCACTGGGGCCGCAGGGGGGGAGGCATGGGGGGATGAGGAGGAGGGACCAGGGATGGTTCCATCTGGAGGGAGCGAGGAGGCAAGCAGGGAAGGATTGGTTGATAGGCGGGGACTGTGTCAGGAGGAGGAAGCATTGTGGGTGGGAGATTTGCAAGTAATTCAAGCATGCCCAGTCGTGATTCGCCCACATCAGACCCCTCAGTTCCAACCTCTGCCACATGAGCCGACAAAGGAACTGACGCAACTGGTAAGGGAAACTGGCATGTCCTCCGCTAACACCCTTGCGTTTTTAGAGACACTAAGTTCCCCTATGTTTTTATGCCACTCGTTGGAAGAACCTACTAAAAATAAGTCTTATTAACACGTAGTACAACGTGTGGCTAACCGATTTTAGAGTTGCTCTGCATATGCTAATGACCCACAAGAAGGCGTCACAGCACATCAACTAACCGGGGATGAAGATTATAGTTTGATAGATGCACAAACTAAGTACCGTAGAGAGAAATATGAGGTAATAGCTAAGCATGCCCTAAGATCCAATTTTTGAATTGGCTGCAGTTTGTCTTAGACAGGCAGATTGAAAATGATGAAGCCAGACAAATACTTAACAGGCAGCTGGCTTTCGAAAATGTGAACCCAGACTGTAAAAGAGCTTTGCAGGCCCTTCCTAAGAGGGAGAGCTGCAGCATTGCTGACCTGGTTCGCGCCTGTCAAGGGGTTGGCTCAGTAGGACATCAGACTGACTCGTTAGCAACAGCACTAAGTGCCCAGCTAAGAGTGCAGGAAGGAGCCAGACCCAAAAGTGCCCCCAACCACTTTCAAAGAGATTGTCCTAGGAGACCCTTAGCAGTAGCACCCCGCAAGCCCCCAAAAGGGAGAAGGGGAGTGGAGACCGCAATGCAACACAAGGTCTCACTTTCTATTCATCTTTAAGTACCCATCTCTAATTTGCAAAACAGAATGTTGCTTTATATGTCCTTCATTAGCTCCTGCTGAAGAATTAGCTGTTATTGCCAGCCTTTAAATTAGGAAATTACAGGATGTTGTTTTCCACAGTGCCTTTAAGCTTCACAGTCAGTTTATCAGAGATCACAAATTCAATTGAAATTCATGTCCTAAGATACAACTTTCTAATAAAACTGTTGAAAAGGAAATAGGAGGGAAGAGTGGCATGTGTTTGTGTTGAACAGAGAATTTTGTATTTTCAATACTGGCTTGTAAAAATCAGTTTAATTTACAAAAGTGAATTATTTGTTGATTATTATGTTTTTTTAAGATTGTAAGAGCAATTTAGTGGCAACATGTTGCAATAGAATGCAAGCCTTTAAAAGCTTTTTCTTAAACTTGTTTGAAAAAAAACCAAGCAAACAAAAACCAGAAACAACCAAACCCAAATATTTGAAGCTTCACGTACATTCTCTCTGAAAGAGAATTCAGGCTCAGTCTGGGGAGTGGATGCAAAATATAGAGGCTCTGTAGAGTTTTGAGGGGAAGCCACACAAGAAACAGGACTCTACAAACACTTTTGTTCCCGGGGAAATCCCTTGGACATATTTATCTGGATGAGTTCAGTTCCTCATCTATTTCACAGTCTGTGTATGTTCTCAGCAAGTCCAGTTCTTCAGATGCATTCAGAGAGTTTGTTCTCATGGTTTTCACGAGAGCCATAGTCTCTGCCTACCTTCCCTGCTAGACAGGAATGAAAAGGCTCACTTATGTCAGGCATAAGCTCCAAAATGTCTCCAGTCTTGCTTGTGCCATGAAAAAACTGAAGTTCAGTGATGTTTCTGAGGTTTCAGAACAGGCGATTGTAACAGCAATAAAGAGCTCATTGCAAAGTAGACTTTGCCTGTGTTGCAGAACAATGGAAACAAGCTTAAAAGGCAGAAAAAGGCTTTATTTCAAGGGTCACTGAGCTGCTCAATTTGCCGAGAGGTATGTTTTTATTTCTTCTAAACTCAATACTGTTTGGACTTCATGTACAGATAACCAGACTTCCCTCACAGAGTTGGATTCTATGAAGTTCCTGCCTCTGAATCTAATCTGCTGCACGTTCCTCGTTGGAGCTCTGTTGAACTGTCACTTGAATATCCCATTTCTCTTTCCATTATGAACATTACAGAAATTGGTTGTACCACTTTGCTAATTGCTAGCTTTCTTTTTTATTCCTGGATTTCCAGAGTATGAAAGAAGAGGGAAATTTATAATAATTAAAAAAAATGCTGCAAATTATTATGCTACAGTACTAGTAAGTAGTAAGAACTTAATATCTCAATAGTGAGTAGGTAATATGTAGGGTGAGACATCCTGAATTGGTAGAATACATTATCCTGTTTGATAAACTTACTGTGGCCAGCTGAAGCACAATTTGAAGTCACTGACTTACTCTGGACAATTGAAAAAAAAAGGAGAGAGAGAAAATTGTCTTAATAGGGATTTATTGCCTCTTTTTTTCTGCATATTAATTGGAGACTGCTGTTACTACCAACACAGACTGCACTTCTCAATAGGAGCTCTTTGGTACTTTTCATTCCCTGAAAGCAGCAGGCTATCACCAATATGTCTCATTTCCTATTAATCAGAGCAGGGAAATAAACAAACCTATAGAAAACATTTTAAAAAAAAAAGAAAAAAGAAACAAAAAGAGGCAAATTTCTGTGCCAGTGCATAGAGCCCACACAGTCTTGAAGTGCAAGAGGCCTTGATGAGCACATCTGAAGAAAGTGTCTGATACTGTTCAGTTGAGGCTGCAGTGTGGTACAGCTGAGATGATCCACCTCCCACTTCACATTAGTGCTCGAATGTCACTCTGAGGTTCCTTTAATATCATTCTGTGATTATAAAGAAGACTTTGGTCTTTGAACTTTATGAGTCCTGGGTGGACTCTCAGTTGCCATGGAATTAGCTCTGCTTGGTGGGTTCAATGGAGACACAGCACTACAGCTGCCAAGGGTCTGGTCTAAAGTGTACTGTAAAAAAAAAGGTTAATGTCAGCTTGGTTTCAAACTGTCACCTCAAGCCTTAAACCCTGACATTGTTTCTCACCGCTGGTCACACAACATGACTGACATGAGGATTTCAGTTGAAAGGAGCTAAAGATTGGTACTGGACATCTTGCTGGGAATTCTGGTTTATGAAAATATGTAAAAATAGCTGATTTATCTTACTTGCTTTTTCATTTTTCAGTGCAGAGTTTAAGTAATGATAATTTATAGAGTGCAACCTACTTCCCATCACATCAGAACCATTGTAGAAATATTGATGGGACTGGTTTTGAGTATAATCTGTGTAAATTCATATGCACAACTCTATATCCAAATATAAAGGTTTAACACGTTTAATTAAATTAGAGGAAGAACATGTTTTTTTTCCTAAAAAAAATTTTGTTTTAGATTTTAACAAAAATAATATTTGGACTATTTCTAGTCAGAAAAACATAGTGGACAAAGTTACCTGACAGACTGTGAGGTTTAAAGTATGTCTTATATGGCGTTAAATGGTATGAAACTGATGACTATATATTTCATTATTATGCTATAATGCACTAAATGGATGACATTTTGGTGGTGTCCACCTCTAAAACTTCAGTTAGCCATCTGTCTGTGCTTCCAAAAACCAAAAATGACATGCAAAAACGTGGCCATAAGTGACCTGCTGAGGGTCACACAGGCAGACCTGTGGCAGTGGAAGCAGGACTGAGGAAGCACAGTGATTACCCATGGATCTGTCTTTAAATTCATTCAATAAAAGAAAATTGTGTGAAGACTTTCACTGCATTGCAGAGATGTTCAAAAAGCTTTTAATGTTTTTTTAAAATAAATTTTATTTATTTTAGAAGATCCCTTGGATTTAAAAAAACCCCCACAAAACCAAACCAACTAACCAAACAAAAAAACCCCAAAGAAATCTTTAATTAAATAACCTAAACTGAACTTTGTGATTTTCAGACCTTTCTTAGAATAAGTTATAGCATAGAAAGGAAATTCATTTATTTAGAACAGCACCTCCTCTTGTTTTTCTCTTCAACTAATACATTTGATTGCTCCATGTCAGCTAGAAAAAAAGTGTGGGGCATCATTTAAATAATTCATTAAATTTGTATTTTCATTTGATTAACAGCAAAGCAAATAAATCTGTAGTGTGGGCATCATGCCTGCACACATCTAGTCAGAAAATCATGGTTCTATTCTTACTCTGAATGTTTGAACACAGCTAAAGTACCCTTATATTGGAAATGTGTATAGGTCATACTGGTATATTCCCTTACACCTTTTTTTTCAGTCTCATATTTCATTTTACTTTTCCTCAGTAAAACACCTCAGTAAACCTGTTCACTGAGCGGACAATGGCCTTACACAGAGGAGGCAGGCATCCAAAATCTGCTGGGCCAGACTGAGGGAAGCACAGGAGCAGTCAGTGAATGGGAGTACTTTTTGTGCCTGCTTTTCTCATCTGTCACAAGACCAACTTCTCAACTGCTCAAAGAAATTATGGATGTTCCAGCCCTGGGGGTGTTCAAGCCCAGGTTGGATGGGACCCTGAGTATCCTGGTCTAGTGGAAAGTGTCCCTTCCCATGGCAGGGGTTGGAACTGGATGATCTTTTAGGTCCCTTCCAACCCAAACCATTCTGTAATTCTATGATGCAACTGTAGAAAGGATCAAAGTCTCTCTGCTAGAACGGCACCCTTCACATGAGAAGCATTGGTAGAACATCTATTTCACTTGGCAGTGTCCCAGAACAGCTTCTGGAGACACAGCTTTGATGATGGACAGTGAGCAGATGCTGCTGTGACATGCTCAGGCTCTGTGGCTGCCCCAGATCACCTCAGGGACAGGCTGCTTTTCCTTTCTCCTTCTTTTATTGTCTGGTTAAATGGTGGATGACTAGGAGGAGAACTGCTCACAAGTAGGGGTGTCCTAGAAACAGACTGAAAGGCCAGAGGCAGCTTTTTTTCCTAGCTTCATTTTCTTTTTAAAGGCTTCAGCAACAATACCCAGCACTTTCCTTTGATGGAATTCCCTACACAGACATCGAGC